GAGAAACCATCAGAGTCTCGGAGAAGAGACAGGGTCAGAGGCAGGGACACACACACACACACACTAAACCCAGGACACGACAGATCAGTAATTCAATCACTGCCTCAAAATAGATTATCCCCCCCCCATTGCTTAAACAGCAGCGCCCTCCTTTTCAAGCCCCATCACTACTCTGCCAATCACATCAACCGACAGCATGCCACCGTCTCTGGAGTTTTTCCCCTTTTTTTTTTTCTTTTTCCTTTTTTTGTGCTAAAATCGAAGGGGGTGTTTTCTGGGTTACCCTTAATCTAAAAATAGCACCAGCTGTAGATTTATAATGCAGGATGCTGGGGGCAGAAGAAGAGAGTGCAAATGGAGGAAAAGATGTAGAGTTCCCATTAGGAGGAGAGCACGTTGGAGCCAGTTGGCAGGAAAAGGAATGCATGTGCTGGATAAGTGACGGCAGAAGAGGCATTATGAAACCAGAGACTTTGTGTGTAATGCAGTGGAACGTGGCAGAAGCAGATTGTCAGAGTATAGGTGAAGTGGTGGCGTGGTGGGTTGTAGGGGGAAGAAGAAGAAGATGACCGTGTCTAGACATTTAACTGCCCTGCGAGACTTCCTAGATGAGACGCTATAACCTTCCAGTAGTTCCACTCCAGTAACCCCCACCCTTCATATCGTCCACAGCATCTTCTCCTCTGTGTGTTTGTGTGTCAGCCCTCTCACCCTACTCCTATAGTGCCTTTATCAAACCTCCATTTCAGGCCTTGACACTTACCCAGTGCTGCCACGATGCACAAGCAAACACACAAACACGCACACACTGAAAGCACATGCAGGTAGGACAAATGCATGCCTGTAAATGCGCAAAAGCAGCACACACATGGAGTTATTTACTCATGCAGACAGACACAAAATGATGCAGAGAGGAATGCATACACACACACACATAGATGCACACACACAGATTCCTCTCAGAAGCGTGAAACTGCTCTGATCTAGTGGTGTAGATGGGGAAACACCCACCATTTGTGCAATGAAGGATGTTAGGAATTATAAAATGGAACAATTCTGAGGCGTCATATCAGTGGGCAACACTAAATCAGACTGAATTTCTCTTATAGCAGCTAGAAGGAAAAAAATAATAATTAAAAGAACAGAACATATCCTGATTTCTCCACGTACTGATTTTAAAACATGAAACAGGATACAGAAATATTTTGCAGATATTGTGGGAAAGACACGATACTTGTTGAATGCAGGTTAGAGGCTGTATTTTCGCCTTTTTTTAAATCCAGGCCAATAAAAACCTTCTTGATATTAGGCGGATAAAACGCAGAATATAAAACCACCATAAAAATACAGACAGATACACAGACACGGTTAATACTCACTTGCTTTTGGTTCTGGTTCGATTCGAGTGCGCGCAGAAACACGCACATCAAGCTTTAAAAAGATCAATCAAAATGTAGTTTTCTTTGTTAGATCGCTCTTTCTTACGATTTCACAGAGTATCCAGTTTCTCGCAGGCATTCAGCTGATCTGTTTTTGGGGTTTGTTTGGTTTTTTTTTCTGTTTTTTGTGGAGGGTTTTTTTCCTCCACACGATTATAATAAATCAGAAATAGGATTGCGCGCGACTGTTGCTGGAAATCTTGTTTTGATAGCGTTATTGCCGAATGTTACTTAGAGCTTATGGTCATGCTGATGATGGCACGGGATGAGTCTTTCGGATGAAATGAAGCAGAAGTCCCCCTGAAAAACAAAAATCTGTCTTTTGGCTATTTCCCCTCGATTTCAGAGCCCCTCTCCCACCTTTGTTATTGCCAAAAACAAAAATAATTGCCAGCCTTTGTTACAGTGTCTCTACGCTTCCAGGCGCAGGGTGTAGCTACCATTCAGCTCTTCCTCTGTCTCCCCCATCCAAATGTTTCAGTGGAGATGCAGCCTGTAGACACCTCGCTCTCTTTGCCTTTCCCTCTCTTGTGCCTCTCTCTGTTCCTTTGGAGGAGCGTCACCTTCTGCACTATTTTTTTCCTCAGACGATACATGTGGGCGGATTAGAGAAGAAGACAGAGGGGTGGGAGGACCCCGGTGAATACAGAGGCTAATTTCTCATATGGCTGCTGAACTTTATAAATACATATGCTGAGGAGAGAGAGAGAGAAAAAAAATACACGCTAGGCTATAAAAAAGAATAAATGCGCTGATTTATTTTCATTTGTTTAACTGCCTGTTTTTTCTCTCCCCCCGTTTCTCCCCCTTCACTTCCCCACTTCAGCCTGGAGCCCACACATGCTCACTCTGCTGGACGGACGCACAAACACCATTTTGTCTACAGGTTCGCAGCCTTGACTCTGCCTTGGCTGACATCAGCAGTCATGTGGTACAAGCTGGTGGATTATGTGACAAAGTATGTCTGAAAACAGTAAAAATCCAGAAAAATTGCCTTTTTTTTTTCATCTCTATCATATCTTTTCTATCATACATTAAAAGAAAAAAATCTGAAAATCTTGAAATAAGTGAAGCTGCATGGAGAATATTGCCTTTATATTTGCCTGTGATATTCTACAAAGTGTCACAGGATTAACAACATGATTTTTAGGTGAATCTTGGGGGGGGGGGACTCTGCTTTCTACCTGCTGCTTTTACAAGAAGACTAATGGTGTGTGGAGACGACTTCTTGCAAAAGTACAGAGATCAGCAGGATATCTTGATGGTGCACTTATTGGCAGGAAACTGTCAATGAGAGCTGCATCATCTCATGAAACTTACAAGGAAGAAAAAGTCATTTGACAACAAAATATTCCTGTAAGAGCAAAGTGCAGACAGAAAACCAGTGAGCTAAGGAGACAAAGGAAGGTGGGAGATATTAAAGGATATTTACTGATTTTTTTTAGGGAATCAAACACTGAAAACTGTAACATCTGAACTCTAATGTGATAGTTTATCCCATGCATCCCATGCAGTCTGTGCAAGGAAAAGGGGCTTTATGCTGTAGGCAGGGCATCAAAATATAAATACAGTCTGCTATTCTGAACAGGAAGCCTGAGTCTTTTTTTTTTCTTTTTCTTTCTCCACTAAGTTGAAAAATTAAAACGATTAACGCAGGAGCCATTTGTGTCTTGCAAAGCTGCTTTTAAGTCCTTTTTCAAATAATTTTTCAAATTAAGTCACCTTTTATGAACCTTACAGATCTAAGCACAAAATCTAGAAGCTGCTTTTTCCTCCCTCAGGGAACACGCCTTCATTTATACCTCCAAGAGCCCTGCGGCATTGTCTCAGATCAGTCAAACGTATGATTTATAGAGGTGTCAAACTCCTCTACACCACAGTTTTTTTATCATAAAACCATCTATAGCACTTGGCGTATTGGCAGTACTATGAGTCTTTGGCCAAGACAGCAGCAGCTTTATTGGGCTTTACTGGACAAAAGCCAACATTTGCATATTTTTATGTAATGCTCTCAGTAATGAAGCTGGTGTTTAGCAGGAAATAGCACAAAAATCTACCAAATGCATCATTTTAGCATTTAGCCTGAGGATTGTTATTCCATCTGCAGTCATTTCAGTTTGGTGGCACAGCTCTGCTTTGGGACTTCCCCACCCTTGCATAACTGTGCATGGACAGCCTGAGGCAGGGAGAGAAGCGACAGGAGGGGCGTTTCCAGGATTTTTTTTTAAAAAATGGGATGGCAAAGGGAGGATCCAACAAGAAATCAGAGAATTCTTTGAGAAATAAACAATAAACTAAATGTGTTTAATTGTACTGAGTGGTAGAAGTACATAAGAACTATAAGCACAGATCCTTTGTTTACAGTTTGCAAAGGAAAGCAGTCAGAGTACAGTAGGAACACAAAGGACCGCTGTTAGGTACACTTGGGAGAGCCTATCTTTTAGACCCTATGAATTTATATAGCTATAATTAAAACAGTAGCTTTCACAGCCCACAATATTTAGCCTTAGATAAGTATAAATTCACAGTGATACACTGAGGAGGATAAAACTGCTCATGAAACTAAAGAAAAGTCTTAAGTTTAATCACTTAAGACTTTTCTTTAGTTTCATGAGCAGTTTTATCCTCCTCAGTGTATCACTGTGAATGTATACTTAGTCAGTGTCAAAGAGTTATACACACTATTTCTAATGCCTGCATGTAGTGTTAGACAATATGTAGGTATTAAATAAAAGCTTGACAAGTCATATAATTCACAAGACATTTTACTGCAAATTCTGAAAAATCTGTGCTAATGAAAAGGCCTCAATGGCAGATTTTGAACTGACTACAGTGAAATCAATTGTCTGAAATAATCTGTCCAGACTGAAATAATCCAGTCTGGACCAAACTGGAGGAACAATCAACCATCAGACTCTTCTTCTTCTTTCGGTTGCTCTCTTTAGGGTTCGCCACAGTGGATCACCTGCCTCCATCTACCACTATTCTGTCCTAGCGTCCTCTTCTGTCACATCAACACTCTGCATGTCCTTCTTCACTGCATTCCCAAACCTCCCCTGTGGTCTTCCTCTTTTCCTCCTGCTTGGCAGCTCCGTCTTCAACATCCTTCTTCAACTACACCCACCATCCCTCCTCTGCATGTGTCCAAATCATCTCAACCTTGCTTCTCTAGCGTTGTCTCCAACATGCTCAACCCAAGCTGTCCCTCTGATGTACTCATTTCTAATTTTGCCTATTCTGGTCACTCCCAGTGATCATCGTAACATCTTCAACCACTGCCACTGGTTGTTCTGCTGTCTTTTTGTCAGTGCCATACGTCACAGCAGGTCAGACTACCATTTTATAAACCTCGACTTTTACTCTTGCTGCTGCCCTTTTGTCACAAATCATCCCTGACACTCGTCTCCACCAGCTCCACTCTGCCCACACTCTCTTATTCACCTTTCTTGTGCATTGTCCATTGTTTTGGATAGTGGACCATTTGTAGTCCTTGCACCTTCACAGCCACATCTGTCTACACATGTTCTGTTTTGCTTCTACTGATTTTCATTCCTATTGTCTCCATTGCATACCTCTAGCTCTCCAGACTTTCAGTATAGATTACAGCATCATCTGCACGTCCACTAAAAGTCTTGCCTGACCTCATCTCTCAGCCTGTCACAACCCTCATGTAAACCCACCCCCACCTTGAACCAATATCCCACATCAGCCACACACCTCACCACTGTGTGGCTGTCCCCATAAATGTAACCAACCAAAATACTAGCATGGCCCAAAGCCAAAGAGCTGCTAAGCTAAAACCTAATGTACCAACTATGTCCAATAACAACAAGACTATCAATCACTGCTCATCAAGGCACCATTTTCTGCTTTTAGTTCAAAGTGAAGCCTCGCTTTGTGGCCAGAGCAGACGAGCAGGAAGTCAGCCACACAGAAAGTAGCTGACACTGTTTCTTCATCAACCTGCATAAATACTGAATGCTCAACTTTGTCCATACTAAGAGTGAGCATTAGTCATCACAGACACTCGCAGTCAATCTCTGGGCGGCAGCATACCGCAGCACATGCATAAGGAAGCAGGTAGCAGACCTGAGCATACATCGTGTGGACGAGACAAGATTTCCTGCATTGAGAAAGAAGCTGTGAAAATGCCCTCAATCTCGTAGGTTCAACACAGTTTCTAGTAATCTATTTAGGAGTTATTGTTCCTACTGCAGAGGTGGATGCTGAGCACTTTACGTAGTTAAAAAATGAAAGAGGGCAGGACTAAACAGCCTATACACGTATATACTGGTGTTTGCACATATGCATATAAAAGAAAAAAGACTGCTGGTCTTCAGAATACGATGACGATGACAAACCGGTAGTTGAATAATCTTTTTTAACGTCGTCTCCCACTAACTGAAAAAGTGTCCACTCACTCAGGGGTTCCCATGTTCAGAATGAAAAATAAAACCTCCCGAAGCGATCTTAAGGCGTTTGATGCATTTTATGTTCGGTGGAAGGTGTATGAGGATATACAATTGGTTCTGGTAAGGGAACGAGACAAAACACACAAATCAAACAGTGCAGAGCTGCTGTTTGTGTGCTGTGTGGGACCAAGCACCAGATGTCAACAACAGCCGCAGCAAAGTGCAGTAATTGGGAAGACTATAAGAAGCCTTTTAAAGAGTTATTAACTAGTGGCGTGTGAGCAACAGCAGTAATGCCTCCAGTCTCGTAATGTGATTTATGAAATGAGTCAAAGCAGTCTTATTATCATGGTGTTTCCTACACTGCTGTTAATATCGCCTCGAGCTGACTTGTTTCTATTGTTTATTGGGCAGTGTGTAATTATCTGCTTCATTCAAGATTTTTTTAAGGGAAAAAAAGAACTATTGTACTACTGTAGCTTTAAACAGTGTACACTCAGACACATGCAATACATATGATTAGAGGTGGTTTGCTTTTCTGGACATAAATCTTGACCTTTCTTTATAATAATGTTTTGGACCTGGTTGCTCAGAGGTGAAAAGTGCAATTGGGGATGCCCAGCGCATCAGTGTTTTGTAGTAAACAGAAACACAATCTGTTGCATTTCTTTAACTTAAAATAAAGAAAAAGTATCTTGGAGTGGTTGTCTTTATTTCCTGTGTGTTTGTGATAATTTGTCTAGACTGGTGGCACTTTTGAATGTATCATTTATGCAAACTCTTCAATTGAAAAGGTGGAAAATCTGGAATCACATCACTGAATAGACGGTCCTCGCTTCTGTTAGCTATTATCTTGTTCTCAGAAGTTAATAGAAGCTATGTAACAGCCACCCCAGGAGAGAAATATTGATTAAAAGATAGGATAGTGCTAAACTTTATCAACACACCTTCAAGAGTTACATTAAATCCAATGCAACTTGACGCCTCCCATAAAACCTGAGTAAAAGCGTACAGAGAGCGCTGCTTTTCATTTTTAAGGCTTTAATATTTAGATAGTTGAAGCCCAGACATCCAGTAATGGATTTCTTCCTTTAAATTCAGCTGTTTGTTTGCTGTAGTATATACTGACATGTGACCACCG